GAGGTGGTCCAGACTAATCTTGGAGGAACGTTTTGCACTTCGATAGCATAAAGTAAAGCCCGAAGTGGCTGACAGTCAGTGCTAATCTGTCTAGTGCCGCTTGGTACGTCTGGGAGCTGTCACAGATTAGGGCAATATCATCAGCATACTCCAAAACAAGAAGTCGTTCTCCTGGGAGCAGATCCCCACCTTCTAAGTCCTGTCCTGTAAAGGTGATTTCCATGATTTCATCAATAGTAAAGTTGGAGAGGAAAGGTAACAACGGGCATCCTTGTCTCACCGATGGAAATATTAAAGGGCGAGGACAGCTTGCCGTAAGCCTTACCTATACCCGAGCTACGCGTGCCTTATGCTCGGATAATATTGGCATATTTCTCAGGTACGCCTTTCCTGAGTAGACAGTCCCAAAGTGCACGTCTATCCACCGCATCGAATGCACCTTTGATGTCGATGCACACGACAAAGGTGGGCCGTCAATATATGTGACGGTGCTCTAACAACTGACGCAAAGTGAAGATGTGGTCAATTTATCCACGACCTTGACGAAACCTGGCTTACGCTTTGCGAATATGGCTTTCACGAGTGCCAGTCAGTGAGGAATGACAGAGGAAAGCAATTTGGAGGCGACGGAGATCAGACTGATTCCTCTATGGCTGCCGCAATCCGATCGTGAGCCTCCCTTGAAAATTGGGACTATGACAGAGCGGCTCCAGTCGGTTGGGACAGTTTTCCGCTCCCACAGTTTCACTAGCAACTCGTGAACAGCATCCACAAGAGCATGTCCCCCAAATTTGAAGAGTGCTGGGAAAAGACCATCTGGTCCCGCAGCTTTATATAACTTCAACAGCAATCGATAAGACAGAATATGGGAATTATACAATCACAGGAAATAGACACGGACTGGACACGTATTAAGCATAAATAGATTCGAAATCACAAATGACACTGAATTCCACAAAATGATATGCATAAACACGACTTTATTAATGTAAACAACGAGGAAAGCCAGTCTAAGGAGGACGCCAGAGAGTAGGCACTATGGAACGACGGAATAACTGCCGAAAACGACATTAATATATCACCAAGTGATCCAGAACCACAAAGAATACCGAATTGACCGATTGGAGACAAAAATTGAGGATACTGAATGCAAAAATACGGAGCAAACTGGCCTAGGTGCAGAGTGACTAATTTCGAACCGGTCGCCGTGACCTTGACCTTGCTGCAGCTGATGATGCAGCGGCGGCAGCAGCGATCTATACGAGGAGCATAGACAATGCAGAAAAAGGTATACCGAAAGCGTGCGCTTACTTACATGATAAATTGGTTAATGACCGTACAGATCATAAGCATCTGACGACATTCACTGCAGTCTTGGAGCGCGTCAAATAGAGCGGACTTAAACTCAAAGAATCCAAGTGTCGCTATTTCGAATAGCGTAAGGTACCTTGACTTTCATTTGGACAAACATGAATTATATCCGTTACAAGGAGGAATTTACCCATTCTGGATTTGCCAACACCGCGTAACATACACTAATTGCAATGGTTTCTTGGGATGGGAAGTCAGTAGAGTCGTTTGTGTTCAATAAAGCTGAGACCCTCTTGCCCTTGTAAGAATCGCTGTGTAAGAATACCTGAAGGTTGTGGCTACGAAAGCAACAAAAACTCATGTTGCTATCAAGTTGGTTATAAGTAAGGCTGATTTATTGGTGTACTTTGACCCGAAGAGGACGATAAATCTAAGCTGCGACGCGTCATCCATACGGCTCGCAGGCGTGCAATTTCACATAATGAAAGATATAACCAAACGACCCATAGCTTTGGCTTCCAGGAGCTCGGCACTAGCGAAGAAAAATTACGCACAGCTGGACTAAGAAACGATGACGAGCATCTCGGGTCAAGAAATTTCACTAACACCTGTTATGAAGAACGTTCGAAATGTTTCGGACCAAAAACCTTCAGTAACTTTGATCGGCGAGAAAAAAGGCCTCAACCAGATGGCGTCTCCTTGCATGCAACGCTGGGCTTTACTGCTTTCAAAATACTACGACGAATGCTCCTGAGAAAGCGAATGGAGTCACCTGCGCTCTGTCGTTTACCGTTGAGTCATGTACTGGATTGCGAACTGAAACCCGCTGGACGGATACATTTGCTTCCGCGTTTAGATGGAAAAACCGGTTAAATTGCAGATGTCAGTCAAGAAACCGAACGGTACAAGACTTGCCAAGATCAAGCGTCTAGTCTCGTAGAGATAGCCTGCTAGATGTGATAAGCAATACTGTCGTACTTTATTGGAGAAGCATAGTTGAGTCTCGATGATGGCTGTCTACTCTGGGGATCCAGAGCGATCATATAACCACGGCTGCCGCAAGATGTTCTACAAGAGCTACCCGGAACGTGTACGCAGGACAAGACTTAGAAGGTGTGGATTTGCTCCCAGGAGAACGACTCCTTGACTTGGAGTATGCAGACGATATTGCCCTAATCTGTGACAGCTCACAGACGTGCCAAGCGGCACTGGACAGATTAACACTGGCTGTTAGCCACTTCGGGCTTTGCTTTGCACCATCGAAGTGCAAAGCTTTCCTCCAAAATTGGCAAGAATCGCCTCCTGCGCTGATCCTTGGTGCGGATCAGCTAGAAATTGTTCAACTACCTGGGAAGTTGTATCAGCGCAGGTGCGATTGAAAGTGAGATCAAGAACAGGATAGCAAAAGCTCGAGGCGCTTTTTCTAACCTTCGCCAACTATGGCGGCGGCGCGACATCACTCTCGCCCTGAAGGGTACAGTGCACAATGCAGCGGTACTTTCTACCCTACTGTACGGTTGTGAAACCTGGCCCCTTAGATCAGCGAACTTAAAGAGGCTGTTTACATTCGACCACCGGTTCCTTCGCAAATTGTTGTACGTCAGTTGAGAACACCGAGTAATCAACGAGCGTGTTCGACGCCTTGTTTACGGCACAGGAAAAGGAAAGGAACCGCTCAGCGTCGTTGTCTCATGCAGCAAGCTCCGATGGGTCGGTCACTTGTTGCGCATGCCAGCCCACCGACTCCCGCAACGTGCGTTGTTTGCTCATTGGGGTGTGGTTGGAAGAGGATGGGTGGCCAAGCGAAGACCTGGTCGGGAGGAATGAAGGCCCTCACTTCGGAGCTGGCCTCGGTTGGAGCTTCACGGCTCCCTGGTTGAGGTCCGAGAGACGAGAAACACATTTGGCTGGATACACTTGCTGATATGGCTAGGAACCGACCTCAGTGGCATTCGTGCTTTGAGTTACTTTGTCCCGCCCCGTGCCTCTTAGCGTCCCCCTCCAACGATGATCCCACTATTTAGCCTTATATAATTTTGCATAGTAAATTATTTTTTCTGCTGCGTAGTAGCCGGCTGGTAGCTTATCGGAACGATGCCCATTCGTTACCGGTAGCGCAGCTGGCTTGTACCTGTTGCATTTTTTTCTTTTATGTATTGTGGCACAGTAGCTGTGCTTCCTACCTCTAGCTAAGGAGTATAATAATGACGGCCAGGAACGCACACGGGAATCAAGACGATGAAGGGACTCGCGCAATGCCATGTATGATGGCCCAATAGTGACAAGGACATCGCCGCTTGGCCACCACTAGGATCATGGAGGTGCAACTGCAAATCATGGGAACGTGCGTACGCTGACTTCTACGGTCCACTCGACGAAAAAATGTATTGCCTTTTGACTCATGCCTAATCGAGACGAATCGACGTTTTCCTACCAACACAAGCCACATCAGAGACGACTAGTTTGTGAATACGAACTTAATTTACTACCTTTGGTATACCACACACGCTGGTAATGGACAATGGCTCCATGTTTACTAGTGAAGAATTTCAGTTTCTGCGAAATATGAATTAAGCCCCTAGCTGATAGCGCAGTCCAAAAGGTCAAAAAAGGGTTACGGAAACAACCGTCAGCTGCACTACGAACAAGGTTAGATAATTCTCTTTTCGGTTGCTGCTCCATCCAAAACGAAGCGACTGGCAAGAAATCTGTCGGGCTGATGTTCGGAGGGAGATTAAGCATGAGGTTAGATTTGCTGTCTCACGATCAGAGGCTACCTGCCGAGGCCAAACAAAATAAATATAAGACCGACTGTGAGCGAAGATCAGATGTTCGATAGTTCTGTGAGAACGAACCGGTTTATATCAAGCTGTAAAACTATACGAACTGGCGGCAAAGAGGACTGCGCGAAGTTGCTGGACAATATGGAGAAGTGCCTCTACCAGACGACAGGGTAGTCATACGGCAGAGACTACGTACATCACCGCTCTGCTTCGGTTCCACCAGTCAACACACCGTTAAACCTGCTAACAGTTGGTAGACGCGCAGAATGCCAGTCAACCAGAGGCACCGCAAAGTCGCCGCTCAAAGTGAGTACCTCGAACACTCGATTAATACAAGGCCAGCTGGGGGAATTTCAAAAAGCGGAAAGAGGAGTACAGCATCTGCGGGAACCGAGTTCATGAAATTCTTGCTGGAATCAGTGGCAAACCAATCACTGATGGAATTGTGTTCACTTTTTTTCCATTACCTGGGCTAATCGGCCTCAATGCGTGTCAGTTTAAAGAGAAGCTAACCATCGATTGAACTGTTTCGGATTGTGCGAGGCGCTGTATCTGGTGCTAGTTAGAATATATTTTGGGTACCACCGAAACTGGCGCGTTTTGTTGTCTAGTGCTACGTTTCGAATCCCACATTCGACTGAGATCTGTAGTTCCGCGCGAGCCAAGCTGTAACAATCACCCAGCAGATGGTTCGAGAGTTTGCACGAAAGTAATGGCACAATAAATTTAAAGGCACCTAAAGGCTGAGCTCAAGGTCATTGCGCAGGAAAGAATGTAAAAGAAATATCAAGTTTGTCTACTGAAGAACGCAAATGATGTGCAGCTGCGTTGGGAAAGAAAGGAACCTATAGCTTAAACGTTGCTTATGCAACTGATGGGAGAAAGATACAGATGAAATGGACTCACTGATATCAAATATGTTCTCGACAATACTGTACACCAAAGCGCGAGACGTAGACTGGGAACGGCGGTGTTGCTCCAAAGCATAAGGGATGTAGGCGGCAACTAGCTGCTGTCTAAGCACATCAAAGGCTTCGGAACAGGAGCCAATGTAGGACTGCCAACGATAGATTGCTTGATCAATTAGCTCCTCGTTCGTGAAAATACGAGCTTGTCTACATTCGGGAATAAAGAGAACAAGAACTACATCAGAGTAGCTGTTAAAGTAAGCCGATCCAGTTTCGAATATCGTGCTGGAAATAATATCCTAATACGGTGCTGGTGAACAGCGGATTAGGAAGTGTTTTCCGGAAAATTCAAGCAAAGGATAAACAATGGCATAAACATAAGATTATAAATAAGAAAAAGTTCATATGGAATCTCTTCAAAGAAAAAATATCTTTAAATGCACTTACAATTCATCAAATACGAGACGTAGATCGAAAGTAGTGGATATGTTGATCACTTTGTGGATAAATATGACTATAATGACTATATAAAGCGCGCAATCAGCATGTAGCGGACATCACTTTCTGGACCGAATCTGATTAATTGAATTGTGCTCAAAATTGAAGTGCGTGTTTTGAAAGGTATTATAAACTCCAGCATAAAACCATTCCAGAAAGAACAGAAGCTACTGATCGAAACAGTTTCCACAGGTGAAGGATGGTAAATCACTGGTGGTTCACCGTTATGATATGATACTTTGCGTGAAGGATATATTTTCGATGCAGCGCCTGCCACCCGAAGTCCGGATACTGGATTACAGCGATGTCTTCAGTTAACATCATCTGTCGACCTACAGCCAGCTATCTTTATGTGGTTACGTAGAAGCATCCGCGATGGAATCGACTGGCATTGGTGTAGCATTACTTCGCAAATCTGTGGCCAATACTATGTATGTGCTTTTCGGCTTCTGCATTCGTCAAAATAAATAGAGGTCTCAGAGAGAGAGAGAGAGAGAGAGAGAGAAGCGACTTGTTCATCGTCTCCGCTCACGCTCGAACTAAGTAACTGATTGGTACGACATTTAGCGCGAGCCACTTCATATACTGAGTGCAGGGGACTCTCATAGCCGGAATGATCGCCCGTAGTTGTTTGTGCTTTGTGGGTATCATCCGCTCAACATAGCTGCTCAGACAATAGAGATGGACGAGCAGTATGTGTCGAAGCAACCATGTCGCCTCAGAAGTTAATGGATACATGGAAATGTTCTTCCACTTGCGTCCTAATGTAACAAGAACGTCTCAACAAATCGATTGGACCTGGCCCTATGCAGCCTGTATCATCTTCATACGCTAGTCTTGTAGATATAGAACAGACAAGAAATGTGACTACTGTCCACTGTGTGGAAAATGTCAGTGTTTCGGATAACAGAGTACAATGTAGAAAAGCATAAGGTTTTGGTTCACGCAATATTTTATGCGCATACTTACATCACCTTCAATGGATTCTCGATGTAACACAAAATCGTTCCCATTATTCCCGATTGTTTACGAGTTAATTATTTTCGTAGACCTGATTGTTTACTTTGCCTCACAATGGCTAATATATTTCTCCCCCTTGACACATGTGTAAACTGATGACGATAGTGACTCGTTCCTCATTACCTCATGCTGCCACCTTTCGAAGGAAGAGGGCCACCGACATCCAGCAAGCCTAAGTTGAGAAGGACACTGTTATTGCGTTTGTCCGACCTCTAACCATTGGCTTATCTGGTATGGGTGGCTGTGAAGGCGCATGGCGTTTAACACCCAGTGTTGTGGTACAAAAATTATTGCAACTAGCTAGTATCTCAGTCGACCGCATGCACAGTGCTTTCAAATTACTGCTTAAGGAAATGATATTCATCCATAGAGCTCTCAAGATTATCCTTAACGCTATCAGATTGCACCTAGCGGGCACGAACGCCTCTAAATGTTAGTTCACTGAGTGACAAATTCCAAAAGTCAATAGTAGCCTGCTATGTACAAATCTTTTAAGACTGGCTAATTGTAACTGGTTACTTAGCAAACAATATGCATTATTAGGGGATTTTGCGCCCGCTAGATTCAATTTGATAATGTTAAGGACCAGTTTGAAAGATCTATGGAGGAATATGATTTTCTTAAAGAGAAATTCGAATGACATAACAAGATCCGAAACGCCGATAAAAGATTAATGCGGTGACGGGTAGCCAAAATGTGCCTGGGCTGAACCCAGTTTAGTATGTGTTCATCCACTAGAGCCCAAAATCATGTCGGTTCTGCCGACGCAAGTGATTCCACATTTATACACGAATTGATAAGGTAATGTAATTTGGAGCCGATGGGTTCATCTTCCTATACTGAATGTAACAGCCAGGCGATCACAGATTTTTTCACACTCCAGCTTTCCTTCAACCTGGCTCTCCAATCGGCCTCGTTGTATTCAATGTTCGCACTCTGATGCAGATCAGACGTCAAGTATGCCAGACCCGCACTCTCGAGACATCCTCGGTAGACATTTGCTACCTTCCGGAAACCAGAATGCTAAACACCAGTAGGTCATTAGAATGACCTCTCCGGTAAATCATGACGTCAAATACCGTTTACGCCATTCTGGGGCTGCCGCCGTAAGCCAGGCTAGTGTTGGGGTTGTACGAGTGACAGGACTATTTGACTAGATGCCAGTCAACAATCAGGTATGTGCAGTCAGACGACGAGGTTGTTGTAAGTTAAGTAAGCGTCGAGATGTTAAGCCTCATTTGCTATATTTGTCCTCTCCGTCTACGCCCATACAAACCGCAGCCCGGACGGAGTCAAGGATTGCTTCTAGTAACAAATACATGACGTTCGGTGTTCCGCTAGAGTCTGATATTTTCATTCTTGCCGGAGATTTAAATGAACGAGTGGGCCATCTGCCAGCAAGTGAGCACGATCTTGGGGGCATTTTTGGCTTTGGTAGCAGTCGATTAGATAGTGGAGGCAGACTACTGACTCTTTGTTCTGATCATCGCTTGTTTCTTTCCAGCACCAGTCTTCGACACTCGAAGAGACAGATTGCTACCTGGCGCTCGCCATCTCAAACGCAAGAGTGGTCCCAGCTTGACTACGCAACAACAAGCTACAGATGGAGCGGAAGTGTAACTGAATGCTAATCGTACTGGTCAATTTGTCTGGACTCCGATCACGCACTGGTTTCTGCTAAGATTTTCAGACGTTTCGAAGGATCGCACAGACGTACGCACTACCGGCCGAACGACAAAAATCTGCAAGACCCTACAACCTTATTCAAGTATCAAGCATCTCTCTCGACAGTGCTTGCCTCAGCTTCAGACGATGATCTGAGTCAGCAACGGCTGTGCATCAATGTTGTTTTAATTACTGCAAAGAATGACAGTAGTGGAGTTACCTGCCACCCGTAGAAAAGCTGGATCACTACTGTCTACTTGCCGTTGTTTGACAGACTCCGTTCGGTTCCAGCCGACGCCAGCTATAGTGACGAAAGTCGACTGTGAATCGAGAATTGAGCAAAAGTTTACCAAAGGACCGTGAAAGCTGGTGGTGTGAATGTACTAAAGAGATGGAACTTGCTAGCCTTTCTGGTAACGCTAGAAAAAGCGTCCATCTCATCCGAATCATTGAAGGATTCTGATCTAGTGAAAGTAAAATAATCTACGAAGAGGACGGCTCCCTAATCACTAATCTTCAGTGACGTTTGGAACGATGGGCGGAACATCTTAGCCCACAATTTGCTGGCCACCCAGCACCAGCTACTTCCTCTAGAGCGCTCACTGGGGCTG